CCATGTAGTAATCATAAAAATATTGTTGCATTAAGCATTGACTAGTCTTTGTGGAAACGAATTAGTCAACGTTTGCAATTTTGTTATTAACATTCCATTTGAAATTGTTATGATGTTTATAATTGAATCTAATTGTATAATAACAATTTTTAGAACTAATAAAGAATGGAATATTTTTATTTAATATATTGTTATTATCTAAGAAAACATAAAAATGTCTTCTGAATATTTTTTTTTAAATTATTTTCCAAGTAATAATTAAAATATTATATTTTTTATAGCAATGAGAAAATTAGCATTTGCTTTTTGGTCATTAATTCTACAGTTGGAATAATTAAAATATAATAATACTTTAAAAATTAGGAAAATAAAAGAATATAAATTAAAAAGAAATCAAATAATGATTTAAAAAAAAAAACATATTTATTAATTAATAAACATTATATTTAAATAAGCTTTAATTTCCATCAAAATGTAATATTTTATAGTATTTTTATAATTAAGAAAATTATATGAGCAATATTTATTAACATTCCATTAAGAACAACTATGATTTTATATATTAGGTTGGTAAGAAAATAATTTCGGTTTAATAGTGTGAAATAAAACTATTATTTTTTGTATACAAATAATAAACTTTAATCGATTATTTAATTTCCATTTTGTGTCTTTACGTCAACTTCCGGACAACTTTATTCAGCTTTTTCAAACTTCGAAAAAACTTCGAAATAAATGGTAATCTGAAGTCATGGCAATATATGGGGGATGCGAGATCACTTCCCAATCAAGCTCCAATAATTTTCCACAATTTACCATTGTTTTGTTGAAACACGATTTGCCAATTCTGGACATTATTATTTTATTGTTTCAGTTAGATTAGTTGTTGACAGTAAACATCTAAATTGATCGTTTGGTTCTTTGGACGGAGATCAAAATACAGAACATATTTGTAAGTCCACCAAATTGATAGCATGATCATTTTTGATGCAATTTAGTTTCGATGAGGTTTGTGCTGGTTCATCATGCTCATCATAATTATTTTTTAATAACATTATTGGAATGTTTACCATTTTTCATCACCTATGACGATTTGTTTAAAAAACTGACGATTCCATTGGTGTTTTAGATGGATATCATCAACATCATAAATTTGACTTATCTCTTTGTTAAACTCAGCGGGTTACTTTATATACTTTATATGATGAAAATGTTCGTTTCTGAACTTTTAAAATTGTCTATTCAAGGAAGCTTAAAGTGACATCTTTCAAATGATAAAAATCCTAACAGAAGACTTTCAAAACAAACACAACATTATCTATTTGTGAAATCCGAAATTGTTTTTTAACAACTCAATATTTTTTGTACAGTTTTAAAAATATTGTAATGTTCTAATATCCTTCTAAAATTTCGTAAAAAGTAATATTAGGTAAGAAACTTTTTTTTATAGAAAATCTAATTTAATCTAATAACTATCAACAATATGAATTTCTGTACATAATTTCAAAACAGTATTGGAATATTGAAATGCCCATCTAATTTATGGTAAAAAAAAAAGTATATAAGATAAAAAAGTATTCTTAGCTATAATTTCTCTATAAATATGATATTTCAAACAATAAGAATTATTGTAATAATTTTGTAAAAGGTAGTATTAGGTAAACAAATGTAATTATAAATTTTAGCAAATATTAAAGAAATTTTCTAAAAAAAAAATTTAAATACTTTTCATATAACAAAAATCATATTTTTACATGCATCATTGATTATCATTATTATTTAGAATAACCATAGTTATTATTATCATTATAATAAAAAAATATTTTTGAATTTACATTTCCTTATATGGTAATAACAAATATTACATTGTACCGCAAAAATGTATGTACATAAATTTGTTATAATATGAATTTAATTTCGAATAAAAATGAAAAAAAACGGGATTAGGTAAGAAATTATAAATATAAATGAAACTATTATTACAATTATAATGCAAAAAAAACATTTTTTCTAAATAATCATAATTGTAATAAAATTCATGAACCATAAGACTTACACAAAAAAAATCTATGGACCGAGGTTTTTCCTGGCTTATTATGCGTTATTAATAGCATTCGTGCAAACTAATTACCGTGTGTTATATAAATATTAATAATCTGCAGAGTAAAATGAAATGTAAAATGTTACCTACACATTTTTTAAGTCTTCATTTCAAAATAAAATCTTAATTAGTTTTATTGAATCATATGAATGAATGTCAAAAGTTCAGGCAGGTTTTTATATTATTTATATAATTATTGCTTTTGTACTAATAATTCCGAATTTGTTAGTCTACTGTCATTTGTTTTAAACAGAACTTAGAGAAGTTATGAAATTAGAATAATATTTAGGATTATTTTTCAAATAAAATCACTTTTTTAGAAGATTTTCGTAGTCTCAATGAGTTAATAACATAATTAATTAGTAATGAGGCAATGCCATACATAGTGCGGATTCAATCAGTCTGGATGCGCAAATAATCATGAATGTAATAAAATTCATGAACTATAAGACTTACACACAAAAAAAGTCTATGGACTGAGGTTTTTTCTTGCTTATTATGCGTTATTAAGAATATTCGTGCTAACTAATTACTGTGTGTTATATAAATATTAATAATCTGCAGAGTAAAATGAAATGTAAACGATCATTGTGCGTTTGAACCGTTGGATTCGAGCGTTTCACCTGCAATTACCTACACATTTATTTTTAGTCTTCATTTCAAAAGAAGATCTTACGGAATTCGCGATTATTCCGCAATATTAGTCGATTTGAGTTTCATCACGCGGATCATCAAAAAGGAGCGCACGAAAAGTGACTCAATGCAAGTAAGTACCCAATGACTATAGAAACCTGGTAGGTATTTACAAGGTTCCGAGCTCTGTAAAAGGCGCTAAATGCGTGAGAGTCCGTTTTGCAACAGAATCCAACGCTGGACAAAAAAAATAAGACAAAATAAAAGGAAGTGGAAAATGGTAATGCAATGAACAATGTTATTTGGTTTATATATGGAAAAACGCGTGGGTAATAGGATAAGTTGGTGAAATTAGGAAACGCGAAGTGGTTTAAATGAATTTCATTGGTAATCGAGAGCGGGTCGATTGTGTAACAAGGCATTAATCCAATAGCAATGGCACCGATTTACTTGTGGCGGCTGCACGAGGATTGTTGCCTTTCTTATTCTCTGCTGTTACGTGTAATAATAATAACATTAACTATGATGATAAGATGCGTGTTCGTAGGCATATCCACCGTTAGGATCAT